TTCACTTTTACTATCTTGAGGTTTTTGACCTAGAAGTTGTAACTGTTGTTCTATTACAAAAAAAAGAATGTTCTCCACCACTTTCCCATGCACTAGGGAAGTGTGCACGTACCATTCGTGCTTGCTTGACGCGTGCGCGTGCCACTATTAAATACTTATGCCGTGTGAGAAAAGAGAAAACTTACAAATAGCGTTTGATAAATATTTTTAAAAATGACTTCAACTGCAAATTATATGTTAGTGATGAGAGAACAGGGGCGTTTTTAGCACAGACGAGACAGTCTGTGGGTTGTGTGCACTTAATGTCCCAGCGCTGGAAGGGCTCCTTTCCCTTTCGCTCGAAAAAATCGTTTCAGAATGGACGTGGGTAAGAGCGGAGCTGTCACAGGGACAGCCACAGAGAGCGTGGTCACCCGTAACTGCAGCTGTTCTTAGAGTCCGCTTCCTTTGACATCTCACTGCTGACGGACGCAGGAGCGTTCCTTAGCACCGTGGGTGAGAACTCCATTCTAGACGTTGATGCTTAAACTCACAGTTCTCGCCAGAATTTTCCAGACTTTGGCTCTCCTCTTTTAATCTCTCTCTTCCATTTCATTAACCAAAACCCGCTGGTATACCATGTTAGAAAAAGATGAGAAAAATGAAGCCAAAAACTCATTACCTGTTGTTTCTTCCCAGGCAGTGTTGATTAGGTTAGGATTCATCAAGACTTTCTTGTTTTTGGTCATCAGTATTGTCTTGTAGAAATGTGGTCAAAGAAGTACAGTGGTCTTTTGAAGTTAGGGGTTTAATAGAAAGTTGCCCACTGTCGGCCGCTGTATGGAACTGTGTGTGTGCGTCTCATGTACAGTGACCGGAGTCCTGATATGTGCTGGTCAGAACATCGCTTCAGAATACAGCGTGGATCTTGTCGCCCCCCTGCTCAGGAGCTTTCGGCGGCTCCAGAATGAAGGCAGAAACCCGCCTCATCGCTCACCTCTTCACACCGTCTTGCCCTCGCTCGTTTCGCTCTCTGTGCTCTGTCCTCTGTCCAGTTTGTTGAGTGTCCCCTTGTGCCACAGGACCTTGACTGATGCTGACCCCCCTGCTGGAGCCTCTCGTTCTTCTCTCCCCACTAGTCCTCTCTCAGATCTCAGCTCGGGAAAGACTGACTCAACCCCTGATCCGCGCCAGCCCCTCCAGCTCACTCTTCTCTCTTCTTACTGCCACCCCGGTTTCCGTTTTACATTCGTGTGGCGGTCTGTGATGCATGTTTGTTTCTCCCTCTGCTATGGGCTCCACGTGGGCAGGAGTCTGTCTGGTTTTGTTCCTTATTGTTTGTTTCCAGGGCCTGGCAGATGATCTGCTCTCAGTGAATAAATGAATGAAAAGATCAATATGACATGAAAGTGGCTGGCGGGGCACTGGAGAGCTGGCTCGGGAGCTCCAGCTCGGGAGCCCAGCGACACATGAAGTTCAGCGAACGACTGGCCCCGTCTGCCTGCGAAGATCGTCCATCCGCCTTTTGGATCCCGGTTTGGTTGCACCGCGTGGAGCAGCCAGGCGGGAGGGCTGCTCGCCGCAGCCGCCAGGGCAGTCTGTCGGTTGCTCTTTCAACCAGAGATTCAATTTGTGATCTTCTGAGTCACTATTGGAGGCCAAGCAGTTTGTTGTTGATAGGCTGGGAATGATTTTGTTGTAAAATACGTCCTGTTTGTGGAGTGCTTCTCATCGAATGATCTCCTCGGTCCTCGTGGGGACCCTGTGATAGAGACAGAGCTGTACCGGGAACAGATGAGATGACTGTCCTACGCTGGCATGTGACCTACCCAAGCCATGCCCTGTCTAAGAGGTTGAGCTGAGACTTAAACTTGGGCCTTCGGACTCCAATCCAGGACTAATCCCGCCAAGTCCAAGTGTCTTCTTCTCTGAGAGGACTTATTATGTGGGAACCAGGGGTCAGTGAAATTTTACTTGGCATTCCCTTGCCCCACAATGAAGATAAATGACCGACATCAGGATAGGCTGGCTGCAGTTTATGTCACAGGGTTTTGGACATCTACGATCCTTTGTTCTCTGTTGAGATGTTATGTCACACGGAGATATTTGAAGACTCTATTCTGGACCTGAACTTTAAATCTCTCATTTATCTTTCCTAACCTGAAAATTTCCCTTCTAATTATCTAAATTCTCTCTCTAATAAACCAAACTCTACTAGTTACTGTCCACTGATTTCTGCTGTGGAGTTTTATTTGTGTTTTGGATGATTAAATCTACTTCATGATAGCCATGGAGAAGGACATCATATCTTTATTTTAGTCCCGTGTCCTGAAAAATATGTTGTCACTGTAAATCTTATTTTAAAGGTCCTTATGAAAAATCTTAATTCTTTCCGGATTATAAAATTAATACACATCATATAAAAAAGTACAAAGAATGAAAGATAGATAATCTACATTCTACATTTTAATGATAACATTTAGTATAATACCTTCTAGGAAAGTAAAAATTATTTAAAAATATTATTTTAAATAACTTTATAATAGTCCATCATCTGAGTATAGTATACTTCATCTAATCATCCTTGTAATTTTTTGATACCTAGATTGTTTCCAATATCTCACTATCATAGGTAGTTTTGGATGAACATTTTGTCCAAATCGTTGGTTATTTTCTTAGGATGATTGCTTAGAAGTTGAATCATTAGGTTCATAAGTAATAATGATAAAAAAAAATCCTTCTAAAAGTAAAATATAAAATAGGAAACAAAAGGAAAACAGTACCAAAGTGTTCAGAATAAAAATTAAAAGCACTTCAAAAAAACTGACTCAAAATGGATCATAGACCTGCATGTAAAAATGCAAAACTATAAAACTTCTGGAAGATAACATAAGAGAAAATCTAGATGATCTTGTATTTTAAAAATACAGCACCAAAGGCACAGTCTATTAAAGAAATAATTGATAAGCGAAGCTGCATTAAAATTAAACACTTCTGCTTTACAAAAGGCATCGTCAAAGGAATGAGACAGGCCACAGACTGGGAGAAAATATTTGCAATGGACATGTCTGGTTAAGGACTGTTATCCAAACATACACAGAATTCTTAAAACTCAATAATTTATTAAGAAAATGAATAATCTGATTGAAAAATGGGCAAAATATCTGAACAGTTACCTTACCTAAGAAGATATGTAGTTGGCAATAAGCATATGAAAAGAGGCTCACCATAATATGTCATTAGGGACTTGTGAATTAAAACAATGAGATACCCCTAGTAGGATGGCAGAAATTCAAAACACTGACAACACCAAATGCTGGTGAGGATGCGGAGCAACAGGAACTCTCCCTTATTGCTGGTGGGAATGCAAAATGGTCCAGCAACTTTGGAAGGCAATTGGAACATTCTTACGAAACTAGATATATGATCCAGCAGTTGAGCTCCTTAGTGTTTACCCAAAGGAGCTGAAAACTTAAATCCACAAAAAAAATCTGCACATGAATATTTATAGTAGCTTTAATCATAATTGCCAAAACTTGGAAGTGAACAAGATGCCCTTCAGTCGATGAATTGGTAAACAAATCAAGGTACATCTAGAAACAGAATGTTGTTCGGCACTAAAAATAACTGAGCGATCAAGCCGTAAACAGATGTGGAGGAACCTTACATGCCTGAGAAAGCTTGTCGGAAAAGGCCGCATACTGCGTGATTTAAACTTCTGCGTGCGTCCTGGAAAGGATAAGACTGTGGTGACAGGAAAAGGATCAGGTTGCCAGGGCATGGGGCGGGAGGAGGGATGACTAGGCAGAGCCCAGAGGGTTTTCAGGGCAGCGAACCCACTCTGCATGCCGTTAGAATGCTGGTTACGTTTGCCCAACACCCCGGAATGTAGAACACCGAGACTGAACCCTAATGCGAACCATGGACTTTGGGTGATAATGACATATTGGTGTCGCTTCATTAATGGCTGCAGATGGGCCGCTCCGGTGCAGGGATGCTGTGTGTGCCTGGGGTGGCAGTGGGGGACGGGCGGTGTATGAGCTCTCTGTACTTTCCACTGGATTTTGCTGTGAACCTAAAACTTCTTTAGAAAACAGTCTATTAAAAAAAATCCTCTCCCCTCCCCTCTTTCTACTGGGCCACTCAGGAAAAAGTTCATCGTCGGCCAGTTCTCGTTTCTCTTTTTAGTTTTCCTGGCAGTTGTGAGATAATTATTTCTCCAGTCCTTGATTTCTCAGCTTCGGGAAGTTTCCGCCGACTCTGTGCTAAGAAAGACGAACGAGGTCTTCACCTCACTTTTATGATCTGCCAGTTCTGTGGGATATATGTTTTCCTATTAGTTTCCTTTGTAGCTTTTAAGTCTTGGGACCCTGATTTTAATGTGTCGTACACCTTGGGATGGTGGCGTGTTTGTCCTTCCTGCTCACTATTTCGCCATTGCATTGGAAACTGCCTTAGATGTACAGGCCTGGTGTTGGTGGTGTGTGTGTGGGTGGGAGAGGCAGTAATTCTGGGCAGCTCTGAGTGAAAAGACAGGAGGGAGACCGCGCCCTTATCCTCTGGCAGTGTCCGTTCAAAAAGATCCAAGATGCTCTCACATAAAAAAATCAGCACATAACCTCCTTGCTTCTCGTCTCAACTTGCCTCCACCATGAGAAGTACGAGGGCCTGAGGGCCTTCAAGAGCTGCCCGAGGAAGGGCCGGGTGCCTGCATGTCGCGGCCATCACCATCCGTGTCACGGGTGCCTCTTGAACGTGACAGAAGATCGTAAAGCGTTTCTCCGGGTTACAGGCTTTAGTGCGTGCCTCGTTTCTCCAGAGGTGCGCGGTAGTTAATTCAGTCATTTGCTGGTTGGTTTCCCCTGAGAGCTTTCTTCTTGGCGCTGTTTCCTTCTTTCTTGGCACATGCTCGATGTCACCCTCGGTGAGCTGACGGCTCCTCAGTCTGTACCTCTAGCCTCGTCTTTCATCACTTTCCTCAACAAGATCCTCAGATTTAGGAAACTCAAAACTGTACTTACCTTTCCCCGCAGAACTTGCCAGCTTTCCACATTGCACTCCACCATCAGGCCCTTGCTCAGGCAAGAAAATCGGGTGCCGACTGTGGCTCCTCCATCTCCCGGGTCGCCCCACATCGGGTTGGTCATCAAGTCCTGCTGATGTTCCCTGCTACAGTTTGTTATTGATTTGTTATCTTTTTTTAAATTTCTACCACTGTGGGCCTTGCCCAGACCACCATAGTTTTTCAACTGGATTAATGCAGTTGCTTTTTATCTGGTTTCTGTGCCTCAAGGTACTGTTTTCAAATTCAGTCTTTGCACTGCTGCCAGAGTGGTCTTTCTAAAATATAGATTCAAGCACTGTTACTCTCCTGTTTGAACCATCCCATCTCTACCTCTGTCGTCTATCGATCGATCGATTTATCTATCTATTATCTATCAATATAAACATGGTTTGCCAGAGAAACAGAACCAATAGGAGATGTAAATGTATGTATGTATATGTACACACACACACACACACACACACACACACAAAAGATTTATTGTCGGAATTGGCTCACAGTTACAAAGGTTAAGAAGTCCCATGATCTGCTGTCTGTAAGCCGGTGAACCAGGAAGATGGTCTAATTCGGTCTGAGCACGAAGGCCTGGGAATCGGGGCTGATGGCGAAAGTCTCGGTCTGAGTACAAAAGCTGAAGAGCCAGGAGCGCTGAGGAGCGAGGGCCGGAGAAGGTGGGTGGCTCAGCCCAAGCAGAGAGCGGACTCGCCCTTCCTCTGCCTTTTTGTTCTATTTGGGCCCTCAACAGACTGGACAAGGCCCACTTCCTTCGATCGGGCCGACCTGCTTTACTCAGCCTACTGATTCAGATGCTGATCGCCTTCCCAGACAGCCCCAGAGACACGCCCAGAAATAACGTGTTTCCAGCTCCCTGGGCGTCCCTCAGCCCAGTGAAGCTGACACGTAGAATTAGTCATCACAATACGTACATGCGCAAATACACGCACGCGCATCCCCTTGATGACATTGCCTGCAGGCTAATTGGCCTCATCTCTTCCTAGAAAAATCTTTCTTTTCCGTCACTATGCCATGCTCTCCTTTGCTTCCGGAATGTCACACCACACCGGTTATTTCTTTTGCCTGGATGACTCCTCCTACCCCTCTTTAATTGGTGACTTATTCTCACCTTTTGCGGCTTGTATATATCTTTCTTCCTGAACCTTCCCTTGATAACTAAAGTCTGGAATAGCGCCATTCCCAGGCGCTCCCACGGAAATATTTTCCCTTTTCCCATGTGCCGTATGGTAATTCTGGTTTGCACTTTCGATCCTAGTAGGCTGTGAGTTGTGTACAGATGTGAATATACACACGCATTCGTAAACATGAGTGCTGAGTGAATATGTGGATGAGCACGAGGAACGGAAAGATTCCATCGAGCATCTACGTGGGGCTTTGCTGTTACAGTGAGGTCCGTGGGAGGAAGAAATAAAAGCAAAAACAGGAAAGACATTTGCTACCTGAAGGTAAGTTTCTAATCGCTGCTTCTACTGGAAGTGCAAAGATGTTGACATTTTATATTCCCTTTGATTTTTGATAAATTGATTCCTTTTCTTGAATGTTAATTCATAAAACAGAATTATTGAATCACAAAATGATTCATGTAGGCTTATCCCTGATTTTAAAAATGGGAAAGCAGAGCCTCAGAGAGCCTAAGTGGCTTGTTTTAGAGTCGGGGCCAGATCCCAGCTCTCTGGCCTCTCAGGCACTGTAAATGAATTAAACGCCCATTGAATTGTAGCATGTGCTTCCTGTACACAGTTATCCACGTTCCCAGTTTAGGTCCTTAGAAAAACGGTCGTAATTCTTCAAGGCTGGGGGATGATCGCTTCAGTCCCCATGGGACACAGAAAGTGTTAATAACTAATTAGGCAGGAGTGATCCAGGTGGTCCCTGGGGGCACTGGTAAATGTTGGGACACCTCTGGGTACGATGGAATAGTTTTTGGCACATCGGCGGAAACACTGGAGCTTCTCCTTCGGGCGAGGGAACAGCAGGCCCCAGCCTTTCCTACAAAGCCACGGCCGTGGGCTCGTTTAGCACCGACTTCAGCCCCATAACTCATGTCCTCACCTTCTGACACGGGTTCCAGGACTCCCTCGAGAAACCTGTGTGCCGGCATTTCCTGTCTGCTCATCTGTGCCCGATTCCTCATGACTCAAACACTTCGAAACTGCAGTGTGATATTCGAAGGCCTTGCTGAATCGCATACTTCATGTTAAGCATTTCACATAGGTTGTGTGTTCTGTCAGCAGAACAGGCTGGCCTTTCGTGCGCATTAAACACGCCAAGTTACACTGGTGCTATTTTGTGGTTCAGGGATCGCTCACTGGAAACGTCTGCGGTGACTGCTTTCGCCATGGAGCAGGAAGAACAGCTCGTGAAAATGGCTTATAAAAGTAAAAACAAGACAGCGGTCCACCCACTGCAGGTCCAGACTCCCCCGAGGCATCTCATTATGGTATCTCAAACACCTCCTTGTTCAGCGAAGTCGGGAGGTTTGAAGGAGATGGTGCCTGAGGCGCCTCCTCGCTCTGACGTCACGGGACATGATGACACCCCTCAAGAAGCCATCTGCGGGTCTGAGGACGAGCGCGGGTCACGGTCCCACAGAAGGCGCTGCGCTTCCGCACGCACTGTCTGCACTTGCATCTGCGGGCGGGTCCTCCACGCGCAGTCGCAGCCTGGCTGAGGAGAGGTGCAGGCGTTTGCCTTCCGTGGACCCGCAGGCTTTTGTTAACCGCTGCTGAATGTCCAAAGTAACTGAATATGAGAGATGGGGACTCCTGGCGAGGCCTGGGGGTGAGAGAGGAAAGAAGGGACCATGACCCGCTGACCTCGTGGGGCTGGGGCGCGCTCGTTCTGAGCGCAGGCGTAGCGGCCGTGTCGGAATCCCTGTCTTCCCTAACGCACAGCTGCTCGGGGTCTCTCAGATGGCGACAGTGGACGAGACATTGCGCTTTTTGGCTGGCGAGATCTTCTGTGCTCCGGGACTGTCTTCTTTATAACTCGTGACCTTGAAAATCATTTTAAATGATAAACAAGCAAAGACACAATCAAGTTGTTTATAGCTTTCTCTTCTTTTTTTCTTTGGGCTGCAAGCAAGTATAAATTCTTCCTTCGGAATAGTACCCTGATTTCCTTTGGGAGAACTGTCCCCATCATTTTATGCGATGTTGCTGGGATGGTGAATTTCCAGGTGCCTGTCTTCCTCCACGGAATCCGGACGACAGAGCCTCGTGCTCTCTGCTCCCCGGGGGCTGACGTGGCCACCGCATTCTTTCCCGGCCTTGGCTAGTGATTTAAGGACATGAGGACAGCTGGAAGGCACAGCATGGGAGCGGAGCAGCGGCCCTAACGTCGCGCTGCACCCGCAGCAGTGTGCTCGCTGTGTTTCTCACTTCTCAGCTTCGGGGGTTCTCCTGGTGGCTGCAGGGTGCACACCTGCCCCTCTCGCAGGCTCCTGTTGGTTCTGTGACACCCTCCACCCACAATATGTTTGCTTCTGATTAAATTGGTCAGCGTCCGTTCTGAAGATTCCAGTCAAGAACTACGATGCGTGTGTCCAGTCTGCCGGCCTACAGTGAGCTCCACTTCCGTTCATCACCGAGGCGGCGGGAGGGATTGAAATTGGACGCTCACCAGTCGCAGTTACTTGTTCCCGTCGTTCCTGTTAAATGCACTCTCGCCACCAGCACCTACACTCGGCCACTCAGCAGATTCAGAAATGCATATTTTCTCAAGCCTTAATAAAACATGGAATGAATTCTTCCTCTGTACGAGATCACTTGATACGGTCTTTCTGTCTGTGGCACAGAGGTCGGGGGACGTTCATAGCCCAGATTCTTACGTGGCATACACAGTTCCCTCCCACTGCCAGGGTTCCCCTCGCGGGTAGAATAGCGCGCCACCGTCGACCCATCGCCCCGATGAATGCGACAGTTCTCCATCGTGGCGGAGTCTGTGCTATCAGGGTTAGTGGTGTCTTAAAGAAAGGCCGTTATGTCCACTCAAGAGGGTGACTCCTTCTCATCTCTTATTTATCAGTAAAATGAATGAAAAAAAGCGTGTCTTTCTTTGCATGGATAAGCAGGACAGGGCGTGTCAGTGGGGGCAGTTGGGATGGCAGGCACCTCTGTCACCTGCTCACGATCAGCAGTTCAAGTTTTATTTTTGCAGATTTAATTGTCACATGGTTTGGGTGACAGCAAGGGGTGTGGTTAGAGGCTGAAATCAAATAGCGTGCTTCGCATCGGA